TTGCTTGGTTGGAACAGCAGCTACGCTAATTATGTCTCTATTTGTTTCTCTGTTTTTGCGTAACTAGGATTTACGCAAGCTTCAGTCTGGATCCAGAACACCTGAGAAGAGATGATGCCAACCCCTCAGAGGACCTCAGATGATGCCAACCCTGAAACAACATAAACTACCACATTTTGCTATAAGTTTGATTGCATCAATAATAATAATAATAATTGCTGTTAATAGTGTTCATCGTCTGTTTGATTACGTCTTTGATTGATTTTTACGTACATTTCTGCCATATGTACATTAACTGACAGTCACCACTGATAAGATACCACTAAATATTGTAGAAACTTAATTTGCTATAAAGTTGCTTTGCAACGATTTGTATCGTGAAAAGCGCTATACAAATAAACTTGAATTGAATAAATTTTCCAATTCAACCATAACCAAGATTATTTCAGATGTGCTGGATTCATGAGAGGAAGCTCACCTCTTTCTGAGCCCAGCATTGAGCGAGGATAGCGCGGCGTGGAGGGAATCTTTATCCTCTCAGTGCGATACTGCAAATTATTTGATGAACCTTCAGGAAACAAAAGGGAGAAGGAGAGGAGAAAAACAAACATTATTTAAACTCAATAGTTACAGCAAGAGGGGAAAAGCTGATATATATGATTAAAGACAGAGACTGACCGAGTCTAGCGCTGGACGGCAGGGAGTTGGTGCCGTGTGAGGCCCGGCTGCTCCGGGACGAGTCAGAATAGTCTGTGGAGCGTTTCTGGCTCAGGTCCAGACTCAGATGCCCTTGACGCTGAGGACTGAGATAGAGAGAAGAAAACATACCAGATCAGCAAACACTCATAATGGGGTGAAGGAGCAATTCTTCTCCTGACAAAGTAAATAATTATCCTGTTTATGACCTACAATGGCTACTTGTACTTAGCACAACATGATGAAAATTTGGTGATATCATTAACTACAATAACTCACAGCATGAATTTGTTCTGCATTAAAGTGATACCTTCCAGGGTCAAAAATGAAGAGGGGCTTGGGGCAAAAATGGCACTAAAATGAACAAAAATGACCCCAACTTCAAAGGGGTCATATGACGCGATTTAAATTTTTCCTTTCTCTGTAATTTCTTTGATCACAAATGCAGACAGAGTTTTATGTTTACGCGGCGCGATGCAATGCAACGCAACGCAACGCGTAAAAAGACAGTATAAGTCATTATAATCAGTAATTATGTCCCGACTGGATGCAACAAATGCCTCGTTTGTAATGGGTTTTAATGTTTTTGTCTCGTCGTTCCGGCCGGGACACGGCATCAACAGTATGTGAGGGGCGTAACATTTCCGTCTCATGCTTGAGGTATTCGGCCAATCACAATGCATTGGATGGCTGGCCAATCACAGCACACCTCGCTTTTTCAGACCGATGAGCTTAGGCAAAAATCTACGCGTTTCAGAAAGGCGGGGCATAGAGGAGAAACAATAATGTACAGTATGTGGAAAATAATGTGTTTTTTAACTTTAAACCGCATAAACACATTTCATTACACCAAATACACCAAATAATGTTCTTTTTAGCAACATCATATGACCCCTTTCAAGATTAGGGGCAAAAAAGGCCTCTGCACAATTAAAGTAAACATATTAAGACTGTGAATTACAGTGAAACGTAAATATTAATGAAAAGTGCTAATTGTAGAAATATGTTTAGATCTGCTCATGCTGCATCAAAGATTTCCTTAGCATTTCTTTTCTGCAGTGTTGAGCATTATAATAAATCAAAAAAAGGTTTGTATTGAGCGTATGAATGCAGTGGCCAAACAAAAGCATTTAGATTAGTCACTGGTTTTGTTTTTCAAGCTATTAAAATAACCAATGTAAAGTCTTGAATTTCTAATGCACAAAATACAATCAACTAACTCATAAACGTTTCTTAAATTTGTCTGTGTTGCATAGAAGAATATGACATGCTATTTCTTTAAAAAATATATTTTTTGGTATTTTATTTACCAATATTGATAATCACTACTACAATATCAAGAGAAATAATCAATAATCATTGTCATATTATTAAATTGTCATAATATTGCAGTCCTACGCTCTAATTAATTCCTGGGTTTTATCATCTATAATTTATACACTTTATATAGGCAATTATATTATGCAATTGTCATGTAAATCCATGATTGAATGAAGTTGCTTAAATTTAAGTTTCTGACATAAGACTGATACATTTAATAAAGTAAAAGATTTAATATTGCCCCTTAGAAATATTGCCATAGAGCTGCCATATTTGATGGAGAAACAGTCTTCAGTGGAAGTCCAGTGGATGTGTTATTGTTTGTGTGCGTGTGTGTGTGTGCGCGCATGTTTATGTAGTTTATGAGGGCACAAATTTGTATAATAACATGGGTATGACATAGGTATTACAATGAGAAGGTGATTTATGAGGACATTTTCAGTATCCCCATAATTCAAAAGGCTTATAAATAATTCAGAATGAAGTTTTTTGAAAATCTAAAAATGCAGAAAGTTTCCTGTAAGGGGTAGGTTTACAGTAGGGTCGGTGTGTAGGGCAATAGAATATACGGTTTGTACAGTATAATAACTATTACACCTATGGAGAGTCCCCATAAACCATAAAAACAAACCTGTGTGTGTGTGTGTGTGTGTGTGTTGGTTATCTCAGTGGGAACTGTGGTACCTGGGATGTGTGTGCTGCTGATTGATCTGGTTGGCGGCAGTAGGGCAGTTGTTAGTGTGAACTCTGTGACTGCGCACCATGTAAACGGGGTTCTTCATAACGGCCGTTATGGCAGAGCAGGGGGCCAGTCCTCGATGTGCTGAGTCTGAAGTTGAAACACAACCACATAATAACCAATAAAACACACATTCCCCTTCAACTGCCCGCTGCGCTCACATCTTTCATTTCTGCCTCTATTATTGTGGCTACTGCTCTCCTCACACAATCAAGAGATGTTAGCCGAAAGTCAAAACTGTTAGATTTGTCACAAATAGAGCATAGAGTATAAACGTAGAAAAATTAAGGAGTATTTTTTGGAATATATGGCTAAGTGAAAGGCGCCAACCGTTCAGAAAATGCTGATTGTCCCCCAACTGTCCACCGTAGAGCAATTTTATTTTCTATTAATTTTCTGTGTGGGTTGCAATTTTTAACACCCTGTTGTCAAAATTTGGGAGACGTGGAGTAGTTTTATTTGTGTGCGAATGTTGTTTTTTAAATTTTTTATTTAACATTAAAAAGACAATTTATAAAATAAACTAATGAACAAACAAACACACACATATATTAATAAATTCAATTCAATCAGGGTTTTCAAACGTAGCACAAATTATGTTGCCACTCAGTTTGGACTTGCTACTTTTGGACCAAATGCTGGTTTGTACTTCATAAATCTATATTTCTCCTAAATTAAAGAAAAAGTATTGTTATTAAATTAGTGTGTGTAACAAGAGTGAAAGCAGTACATCAGTAAAGCTCAACCAGTTTGAATAAAACATTAGCATTTTTGAAATATGAGGAAAATCATGCAGTAACATACGGAACAGGCCCTCAGTTTTACTTGCAGCCACTTTTTATGATAAATCACATTGGACCATAGTAAAATTAAACATATCTAATATTTCCCATAACAAATGACATGCCAATTCGCTTTATTATTTTTTTAAAAACTACATGGCACCAAGTGCACCGTATTGATGTCAAGCTTTGGCTTTTGCTTGTGTTCAGAATCGAGTTCCACCGGTAAAGCCAGCTGCTCTGGGCGACAGATGAGCAGACGGCGGGGAGGCTCGGAAGGCAGCCATCCCGGCAAAAGCTTGAATACTCAAATCAAGTAAAAATAGACCTCATTATCACACAATCCCCATGTGAACTATAGTCACATGACAGAGGCATCAAGCAGAATCCACAGTGGTTTGTCCTGTTTCTACAAAAATCTACAGTCCTGACAATGTGCTTTATGTCTTTACGTGAGAAAATAAAATGCAAATATGTCACTGCATTAAATGGGACCTAACTGACACATTTCAGGGCTCACCAATAAGAATAGCCTTATGCTGCAGGAAAGAGATAAATGCATAAAACTGAGCCCTGCATTTTCATCCTTCCTAAGCAATAGCATGAACATTCAAAGCTGAAAATTATAAATGGGTTTCATTCGGTAAATCAACAAGCTCGTTGAACCATATTCTACATGATTATCATAAATGAGCAATTCAATTATTCAGGACTGAGTTCACCATAAAATTAAGTAAAACATTAATTTTGTAGGCCGCATTGATCGGAATAAAGATGAACTGTGCTCTGCAGAGCAAATGCAGACAGGGAGAGTGTAGGAAGGGTGTTGTTAAAGAGATACATTGAAATATAGGGCTCTGATTAGGGCGGCTGTAACTCACTGGGAGGCAGGGTTCCATTATAGGCTGTAGGCACAAAACCCACGCTGTGTCTGTGAGGTCGATTAGGAGAGGAACGCAGCATCTCCCTCTGCTCCACAGAGTCACCATCATTTGAATAACTCTGCCAAACACACACACAGCATTAGATAATGCAGCATACAGTTCTATAGAAAGTTAGAATGAATGTTTCTACACATTCTAGAATATCCTAACAAAAATAACTAGTTGAATGATGTTTCATTCTTCAAATGATATTCAAAATATTAATGTATTTGCTCTGAAATGATTTAAAACGTTCATTTTGAGCAATGTATCAAGTCGATTTGAAATATTAAACATAGTACAGTAAAAAAATTAAAAATAATAAAATGTTAAAACGAATCACGTCACAATGATTGTTACAAATTGTTAAAAATATCAATGATATAACACTGTATTTACACTACTGTTTAAAAGCTGCTTTTTTTTTAAAGAAAATTTCATTCAGCAAAGATGCATTAAATAGATCAAAATTGACTTTTACTTTGTTACCAAACATTTCAAATAAATTGTTCTTTTGAAGTATATAGGAAAAAAAAATGTATTGCACCACACCTGTCACTGAAGACTGGAGTAATGGCTGCTGAGTTATTTTAAATAGTAATAATATTTCACAATATTACTGTTTTAGTGTATTTTTAAACAAATCAATGCAGCCAGCAGTTTAAATGAATTGAAAATATTTTCATATTTTCCACTGAGGTTTAAAATCGGTGAGGCTGTTAAATATCTTGGTCTCAGTGATGTACTGCCACAATATTAAAAAAAAAATGCAATTAATGTTATTGTGAAATTCATAATACATTATTTTGATTTTAAACTGACAGCAATATATGATAATGACTAAAATATGATAATGAATAAATCCAAATAATAATAATATAATAAATTATATATCACTTAAAGGTGACGTATCATGAAAATCTGACTTTTCCAGGTTTTAAGTGCTATAATCTGGTCCCCAGTGCATCTACCAACCAAGGAAACGTGAAAAAGATTAACCCAGTAACTTTGTTTTGGTAAGCCTTTTTCTGCAAGCGTCTGAGAAAATGAGCGCGCCTGATTCGCTCCCTTGGTGACGTGGCAAAGTGAGCACAGAACACTGTTTACAGTCCCAGCCTCAGAGGAGACAACAGAGCAGTGCATTTATTTATGTATTTACTGTATATTGCTGCTGCCACACAGATCTAAAATAAACATGCAATTTATTTCCCAGCTGTTTACCTTCACAGACGTAACCCGTTTTTGTAACTCGTGTGTTTTTAACGTTAACTTGTGTGTGAATGAGAGCTTACTTTAGTACTCATGCTGTGACAGCCGCTTTCTGTCCATGTGCTTCGGATGTGTGCACTCAGAAAACCGTATATCAGAAGTTTAAACTCATACGGTTTAAAACGCATTATTTCAGCGCGATAAACATGATAATCAGAACCATAACAGATGTTTTTAGCAGGTCTGAGCTGTAATGGAGCAGCTCTATTCTGGAAAAGGGGGCGGGGAGCAGAAGCTCATTTGCATTTAAAGAGACAGGCCCGAAAAACAGTGTGTTTCTGCTTCCACTCAAAATAGGCATTTTCAAAATAATATTATAAATGATCTGTGGAGTATTTTGAGCTGAAACTTCACAGACACATTTTGGGGACACCAGAGACTTATATTACATATTGTAAAAAAGGGCATAATATGGCACCTTTAAGACAATATGTATCATATTAAAATATATACTTTAGTAATAAAGTAAATAATATAATATGTACATGAATAATTCTAGATTATATTACAATAATTAGCATATTAATATAATAAAACATTCACGCTACTAAAATAGCGCTAAGCTAATCTTCTACATATCATCAGGAGGCGTGCGTCAGCATGTTCTCTCCCCCTCTCTCGTTCCTCCTGGTGCAGTGGGAGATCAATCTCAGGCTGCGAGGCTAATTAAAACAGGCAGGATGGCTGGCTGTGACAAATTCACCTGGAAGCTCTGGAGAGGAATGGTCTGAGGAGTCATTCTGCGCCTGAGCGCCGGGGCCGATTTGGGCCTAGGACGCTTCACTTCCGGTTCCTCCGGCCGCATCCGTCCGATGTCCTCCTCACATGACTTCCTGGAGCTCAAGACCTTGCCCTCGCGCCCCGCCTCGGTGAAGTACAGGTTGCCGTTGCGGTCCTCCTGCTTGGGTTCCTGGACAGACATGGCGGAGACGGTGGACTCCGAGGCGGAGTTGCCCTGATGTTTGTGCTTGAACTTGAAGGAGTCGCTACGTGTGGGTGGGGTCGGGGGTGTCGGGGCAGAGTCCGCTTTTAAAGCTTGAGGCAAATGGTAGTCCGTCTTTGACAGTGCATCTGGTCTTTTGTAGGTGTCGGCATCAATGGGCTTTCTTTGCTTGGGCGACCTGTAGATGGAGAGTTGCGCCGGGCTGTCTGTTGTCATGGCGACACCCACCACCATTTTAGGCCAAGTGCCGCCACTGTGTTGCTTCTCCAGGCTGGTTTCCAGTGTAAGACATTCAGGGCCAACTGACTCTGAGCGGGTGTAGCAGACCTCCTGAAAGGCACTGCCGCTGTAGCGGGCCAGTCCCAGCTCTGAGGCGGGTCGGAGAGAGTTAGGGTGCAAGGTGGAGATCGGAAACACCTTCCTCTCAGAATAACCGCTCTCCTCCATGTCAGTTCTGGTCTTTCTTCTCTCGCTGCCCGTGTCCCCGCTGTAAATGTCTGTCTGAGTGGAGCTGTTGTGCTTGAGGTTTCTGCTGTTTCGAGAATGGATATCCGACAGATGGATTCTGCCGTTGGATTTCTCAGCCTCCCTCAGGCTCTCAAAGATGTTCTGCCCCGACGTGCTCTGGGGAAAAAACTGTTAATGGACAGGTTCAGCACAACTGGCATAAATAAAACAGAAACATCAATAAAACAAACATTCAGAGGTACATAAACTACTGTTACGGAGACCCATTTCGCAAAGCCGGTTTCAGTGGCAACCCAGGTAAATTTGAGTTTAGTTCGGGTTCAGGAAGATGGATAGGTTTTTAGTGGTGTTCCTCACCATGGTAACTTATGCTTTTATTCTGAGTTGGAGATCACAAACCAAAACTGGACAATCAGATGTCAGCAAAGTGTCATATCTGATGCAAATGTTAACGCCTGCTCCAAATTAAAACACTTCACAGTGAAAGTATTTTAGTGATGGAATTACAAATATTTTGCTCCTATTTAGAATATTTATTTTATATGAATTATATATTATATCTTTAATGCATTACACATGCAAGCAATTATATTTTGACAACTGATATTCAACTTTTAACTTAAATAGCTAAACTGTTTTTTAAGCACTTTGTGAACATATAAATTATATGTATAATTAAATTAATTTAGTTGATTCACTTGCATCAACAGAGTTAGATATTTTCTTTCAGCTGCCCTCTCAAACTTTAATGGCAGTGGCAATGTTTTAATCTTTTCTTGTAAATGCATTTAAATTCCTGATTTTTTAAAATAACAATCTCAATCGGTGAACCCACAGAACCTGAACTAAACCGGGTTAGATTTGTTTAGTTTTGTCAACGCTAAAGCTACTCTAAAACTCAACTAGCCTCAGGCCACAGGTTTCTTAGGGTTAATTTAATCCAATAACAAATAGACTTTTTGCTAAGCTCCACCCCACTTGGTGCTCTTCATGATGACTTGAGATCATTTGGAAATCCACAGCATGTATTAAGGGGGTCTGAATACTTTCCGTACCCACTGTATATAAAGTTACAGATTGTTGTGTTTATGATTTCATAGTAGCTTGTGTAACTATTGAGAAATCATCATTACATTATAAAAAATAAAAAAAAACTGTTTGAATTTTTTTTTTTTTTTAAACCATTCAAACACAATAGTTATGGCTAGTTAGCCTAAGAAAGCATTAATTTACAGATGTTATTAGCAAAGGCCCGGATGATTACTGAAAGCAGTAATGAGAACAACTACAAACTCTTTTCCAGTTTTCCAAACTTGACTTTCTCAGTAACATCTCAGAGTTGGTATTCCAACTCAGACACAGCGGTCTCAAATACAACATAGAATAAATGTCACAGAAGCACCTTGGCATGTGGTAATGAGAGCGGCACACACGCTCAGACAGCAGTGAGAGAACAATCACCTTCATGAGGGAGAGAGCGAGCGAGTCCCTGCCGCCCCTCAGCAGAGCCTCACATTCACTCAGTGATTTGTTATCCAGAGCGATCCCATTTATCTAGGGAGAAAGAAATTTAGGTCAGCGCTTCACCAAAGAAAAGTGCCAGAAGACTTTTCAATCCTTCTATTTTCAAACCTAGAAATGACTTGGGAAACTTGAGAACAGAGACACCAAAGAGATGCTTGGTGAATGAAAGGATGGTGCACTTTTAAGATCTCCAGTTCAGATAAATCCTTCTATCTTTTTAAACGTAAAGTAATAGTTCACTCAGAAATATATTCTGTCAAGGTTTACTCATCCTCAAGTTGGTCCAAACCTAAACTGACTGACTTTCTTCTATGAAACACAGACAAACGAAAAGTTGAAGATTCGTACCGGTCATTTAATGAAACTGAAAGGAGACTCAAGCTGTTGAGCATTTTTTTTTTAAATGGTAGAAAGCACCTAGAAGTCTCATAAAAGTCATATAATAGCTTCATGGGAGGAACAGCCCAAACTATTGAAAATAGATCTCAAAATAAATATGGTGAAATTAGACATCAGGTTTGGCAATGACACACCAGAATCAAATTGTCCAATTTCAATTGCCATTTATGTGATTTTGTAATCCATACAACTTGATAGTTAATTTTATCACTACAACATATGTGTTATGTAAGCTGAAGTACCAACATTACTGAATGAACCAAAAGCAAAAACTGAAATATAAATAAATTAAAGGGGTCATATGATGTTGCTAAAAAGAACATTATTTTGCGTATTTGGTGTAAAGAAATGTGTTTATGCGGTTTAAGGTTAAAAATCATATTATTTTTCACATACTGTACATTATTGTTTCTCCTCTATACCCCGCCTTTCTGAAACGCGCCGATTTTTACAAAGCTCATCGGTCTGAAAAGCGAGGTGTGCTCTGATTGGCCAGCTATCCAGTGCGTTGTGATTGGCTGAATACCTCAAGCATGTGAGGGAAATGTTACGCCCCTTACCAATGAGACAAAACCAATAAAACCCATTATAAACGAGGCATTTGTTGCATCCAGGGGGGACATAATTATGGATTATAATGACTTATACTGTCTTTTTACGTGTTGTATCGCACCGCGTAAACATAAAACCATGTCTGCATTTGTGATCGGAGAAATAACAAACAACGAGCGCTACTCTACAATGCCCAAAACTCACATTTGAATCATCAGTGAAAAATTCCTTAAATATAAAAAAACGTACTTACAGACTGAGTCAGAACAGCTGGCATTGTAGTCTACTCTACCAGGATCAGGAAACAGTCCTCCATAAAATGCGCTGCGCACATCTGAATATTTGGGTTGAACTGTTCTGGAACAGTGTTGTAAATACAACTTAACCACTGATTTCTTGTCATGTCCTCTTTTGGAAGACCAAACAAAGTAGTTTCGCTTTCACAACGAAACACACGGCGGGCTAGAGTGAGCGGAGGCTGGCTTGAGTGAGCGGAGTCAAGTCGGCGGGGTTGAGAACGCTTGCGGCAACCAAATGTGAAGACCCCGGGCTGGACTCCGCTTCGTCCACGGTGATCCACAGCAGGAAGTTGATGTATTTCCTCAGCGACCAGCACGGATCAGCTCCAGGCATGACGAAGCAGATATCATCCTCTTTTGGAAGACCAAACAAAGTAGTTTCGCTTTCACACCGAAACACATAGCGCTTTCACGACATGGCGGCGGCAGCAACAATACTACAGCGAGAATAAAAGTTACACCTTCTTTCTTTGCGTGAACATTTGGGCGGCGTTATGCAAATCTTCCCACATCGTGACGTAGACATGTGGGGACGTGTTAGAACGAGCCATTTTAGGTAGGCTCTTAACTTTTATAAAGAATATCTCTTTGGATTTGAGACTTTAGTCTTTGCAACTTTACAGATCTTCTTTATGCACCAAGAGCTTGTAACACTCCAAAGAGAAAGGAAAACTTGAAATCGCATCATATGACCCCTTTAAAACTGTTCAGAAATGATTAAACTGAAAGCAAAAATAAAAGCTAATTTAATTAAACTAACATTGAAATGTAACATTGGTCTATTTCTAACATTAAGTTATCATATGGCTTCAGAAGACTTTTGATACTTCTATGGGTGTTTTTGTCATTTTGAAGTTCACAAGTCTTAAGGACCTTGCACACCGAGTCCAAAACTTTTGTCTGAAATTTTCACATGTTAAAAGATAAATACGACCTTATGTTGTGTCAATCACGTTTACACACTGCCTCCGAAACGTTCGTCCATCATAAAAAGATTTTTGGATTGGGTTCAATTTTCTACACTTTTCTCATCCGTAGCAAGCATTTTGAGACGTGTTTTACAAATTTAGAGCCACGGTACAAGCGAACGCCAAAATCCAGAATGGAGCCTAACAAGTTGATCCCCTTCGTCTTGCAGCACAAAGCACAGGATCCTTGCACACTGAGTTCACCAAGAAATGATTGGTCTTCTTTTTAATATGTGGCTCTAGTATCACTAGCAAAACATCAAACTGAGCCACTGACATCCTGAAGTGTATAAATGTGATTGACACAACGGGAGGTCGTATTTATGTTTTAATGTGCGAAAATTTCAGACAAACGTTTCAGACTCGGTGTGCAAGGTCCCCATTTACTTTCATTATATGGAAAAAGGCAACCATTCTTCAACTTCCTTCATTTCTCTTCTTATGCTTGTGTGTTAAGCCATGTGAGTTGAGAAATATATGAGTGCAAGCAAATCATGAAAGACTTTTCATTTCTTTAATGATAAGAACCAGCAGATGTAGCACTATTGATTGAGCCATATGACATGGCCAATATTAGAGCCAAAAGGTTACGGATATCTTCTACCCAGAATCTATCATGCAGTCAAAAGTAACACCTGATCCGCTCTCAGGATTAACATCTGTGTTACTTATCACCTCCATCTAAGGAGAGGAGTGGATTTGATTGGCAGTTCGTCTAATGAGCCTCCATGCATTTCAGATAAGGAGCTGGATTAAAAATCTGCTTCATTTAGGAGGTTGTAATGAGAGTAAGGTCAGACTTTTATAAGAGCAAATCGGATCCTTGACAGCAGCAATCTTCCTTCAATTTGAGGAAGGATCGCATGACTGCTTGATGACTTACGGCAATCAGGCGGTCTCCGATGGTAAGAGATCCCTCTCTAGCAGCTGGGCTGCCCGGTGCGATAGCGGCCACGTATACGCCGCCCTCAAGAGTGATACCAGCGTCTGGGAGGGTGCAGAGCAAAACCAAGGGTCATTAATAAGAAAACAAGGGAAATCAGCCACAGAAACGGTAAAATGAGTTGGAAAAATGCAGAAGTGATACCTTTGTGTCCGATTAGATTAATGTGGACAGGAGTAACCAGTCTTCCTCCTAAAGATTTCCTCCTGCGAACGACCATATTGATCAGCCCTCCTCCATTAAGTACGGCTTTGATGACCTGCTTCCTGTCTTTGTTAGTCAGGTCCACATCATTTATCTTCAGCAGCCAATCATTCACCCTATTGAGAGAGAGGCACGGCTGGTCAGGACCAAACTATGAGCAGGGAAATGAGCATGAAATCATTCCAGAGGCCATTATCTGAAAAACACTCAATATCTGTATCCACCTCAATCTTCCATCCACGATACTTCCTTTGTCCACTCGGGTCACAAATATCCCACAATCTCCTGGTAAATATGGATCATTCACACCCTCTGCGATATCAAACCCCATTGCCTTCAAATCCATGTCGTCCTGTAGGAAGATAATGATAGAGAGACTGATGAGACCTCTCCAAATATAGGAAGACAATAAAGACGAGAAAAAAAAAACATAAAGGTCAAATGATGTGAATGAGTATCCTGGAACCATGAAGGTAAATGCAAGAATTTATGACCCAAAAAAGACTATTTAAAACACATCTCCATCACTTTAAAAAAAAAAAAAATGCTTGATTAATTTGAATAGCTCCAAACCACTACAATATAGAAATAAAAATGATGCTTTTTCTCAGTAATTTTTCTTGTTTTTCAGTGCAAATGTCTTAAGATTTTTAAATCAATATACATTTCCTTGAGAAGCCAAATAATATGAAACCAGAAGTCTTGTTTTATGAGAAATTGATGTAAATAAATGAAGTGAGTTTATCATTAAAAAAATAACAAATATCTGCCAATGGGCTCAGAAAAATCAGTTCAATTCAAAGGCAAAACAAATTTTCATACCCCACTGAAAGATATTTGTTCTTGTTTTAAACAAACTCAATTTTATTCAGCTTGTCAGAAAACAAGACTTCATATCTTCAATTTGCAACTCTAGTAAATAGATCTCGATTTAAATATTTGCATTGGAAAACAAGACAAAAATACAGAGGAAAATATTCACTTTTAACAATGCATGCAAAAATTAAGACTTTCTGCTCTGATTTAAGACCTTTTTAGTCCTTCATTTGTGAAAGAGCAATCTGCAGAAACACAGTATAAGGTAACCATATGGGTTTAGTTTAGGTTTATGGTTACGTATAGTACCATACTTCGTACCCACTTATGTAATTACTATAGTCAGCACAAAAATATGTACATGCAGAATAGGACTACAAAATAAAGAGATACTAATTAATAGTATTTTTGTTATATATTCTAAATACTTTTCCAAGGCTGGAAAACATTAATATAAATATTCCCAGATATTGTCCACACCTGTAAGATCAATATATTATTCTTTGCGGGTTTTTGTTTTCTTACCCGATCCTTCTCAAACTCCACCACCTCCGTCTCCCATTCTAATGAGTCTGTGTCTATGGCTGAATCATGGGAGCTGTGAGCCATTAGCTGGCAAAAACGCGCCTCCTTCTCCAACTGGCTCTCCATCTTCTCCCTTTATTGGTGGAGAGAGCACAAAACAAAAGACAGACCATTTTTTCTCTCATCTCTCCAAACAGTCATCTAATTCATCTCACGCCCACAAAACAGCAAGAATGTCAAGTGTCAAGAGTCTTTGTGAAGAGCATCTCTCTTTGTTTGAAGAGTTGCTGATGCAAGACTGGGAAAACCGCTGTCTTACAAGCCTACTGGATGATACGGGTTGGCATCAGGGCATCGTTTGCCACAGTTTGTGTAATCTGTAACACCTGTGCTAGATGGAGATGTTATAAAAGCGGCATCAAGGTCAAACCTTAAAATTGGGAAGGAAAAAAAAACAGGATCAAGTAGTTGGGGAATACTGGCAAACTGTCACTAAGATTCATAGACTCAGAGAGAGGAAAGCCTAGAGGGCATCAGTGACATTAAAAAAAACTTCAGAAAAGTCTACTTCAAGAGGGTGGGGGTGCTCTGGAGCTTTTGATGGGAACGGACTAACCACTAGGGGGCGTCTAAAGCAGAAATGTAATCAAAAAAGAAAAGGGCCTGGTTACCAATTAGCAGACTAGGACCAAAAATTAATTCCAACAGGGCCACGAATCATTTGTCAAATTAATATAATTGGGCATTATAAGGGATAAATTATCTGCTGCCTGCCATTCACACACACACACACACACACACTCAATTTCTATTTATCTAGCCATCAATTACATTATTTAGTACAATATTTATTAATAATAATTATTTACTAATTATTAATTTATTTATTAACACGCATTTATTAATTGTGATATTTATTTGCATTACGTAATTTTAATGTATTCACTCAAAATAATAATAATAATATTTAATAACTATTATTATTGCATTTACAGTATACCTTCCGTAATGTCAATTTTATTGACTTAATTACATTAAATATGTTACTGATTACGTAATTCAAAAATTCATTATTATTATTACTACATTCATACTAATTTTAAGTATTATTAACATTATTATTACTTGCATTTATAATATATTATCACTTTAAATTAAATCATTATTAATTATAATAAATGATAAATTCTTAAACATTATTACTAGCATTTATAAGATATCATCGATGTGAATTAAATAAATTACAATAAACATGACGATGTACATTTAATGTATTATGCTATGTTTATTACATTATTGCAACATTCATTCATTATTATTATTTGTAATCTTAAAATTCTCAGCCACATAACATTGACTTTAAAAATACTATAAAGTTATTTTGCCACTTTTGATTGTTCAGACAAGTTTGTAAGAATAAAACTCAGAAAGGGGGTCAGTTGTAAATGTAATGAAATACCCCATATTATCTGTAAACACCTGACTGAAAGATTGTCAGAGAGAGGCAGGACTAAAAAGGGTTTACTTGAGCTCTTTAAGTTCCCTGGCTGCATCGTTCCGCTGTTTCCTCATGTCGTCAAGGTTACGCAGGGCATCAGCCAGATCGCTGACGGCACGGTCTCTCTCTCTGCGCAGATTATCACACAAAGTCCTGCCAAAACACAACAAGGACACGCTCAAGTATCAGCATCAGCAGTTGCATGTCATCATTTTCCTAGACTGCTTAATTCAGTGGCAAATGCTACCGTATGCTCTCTCGCTCAGCAACAATCTTGTCTCGTTCCTGAAAGGCCCAGTCTCTGCGACACTTGGCCACCTCGGCCTCCTGCACAGCCTCCTTCAGCTCCTGGGACATGGCCTCACACTGCTTCCTCAACACGTCAATCTCCTTATTGGCACGCTCCATGTCCAGCGTGGCCGAGTCTTGTTTCTGTATCAAAAACATTCACGATGAATATGATTGCAGATGATTTCATCACCAAAATATGTTTTAAGGCATAACTTAAGACATCCGTGAAGTCATATTAGTGAAATGAGTTAAATGAACTTCACCAGAAGGCTTTGAGTCTTAAAGATACTGTAGAGCTGTTAGAGACCTCTAGTGGATTCTAGCGGCACTGCGGCTTTAAACTGAATAAATCTGCCTTGGGTTTTTTTTTTTTTTTTCTGGAATAATCCAATGGCCCACAGTTTATGAGATTTTTTTATGAGCTTTGTGGTTTATAGTGTTTGTTTGTGTATGAAGACTGGTGTGAAAAATCAAGACAGGCAAGGGATAAGAGGTGAGGATACAATGCTTGGAGATCGGACCCAAGATTAATTTCACAAACGGCCCCTTAGCAATTTCTGCCCGAAGAACAGCAGCTGATAAATATCTCTGAGAAAAACTGAACAACAATGGTAAAATACAATATATAAAAATATTACTTTTGAGCCATGGATATGCAGAAGCACACACATTGTCATGAGTCATGGGCAGCACTCTGAATCTACTACATAATCTATTAGAAAGGTATCATTTATACTTAAATAGTTAAAAACAAGGGTGTTGTAGTGATACACACTACAGTTCGAAAGCTTGGGGTTGGCAATATTTTTGTAATGTCTCTTATGTCCACCAAGGCTGCAATTATCTGATTAAAAATACAGTAAAAACAGTAATATTGTGATATCCTGCAATTTAAAATAACTTTTCTCTTTGAATATAATGCCATTTATTCCTGTGATGTCAAAGCTGTATTTTCAGCATCATTACTCCAGTCTTCAGTGTCACATGATCCTGTAGAAATCATTCAATACCACGACTGAGGTGCCCTTGAGCAAGGCACCGAACCCCCAACTGCTCCCCGGGCGCAGCAGCAAAAAATGGCTGCCCACTGCTCTGGGTGTGTGTTCACGGTGTGTGTGTGTTCACTGCTGTGTGTGTGCACTTTGGATGGGATAAATGCAGAGCACTAATTCAGAGTATGTCACCATACTTGGCCACATGTCACGTCACTTTTCTAATATGCTGACTTGCTGTTCAAGAAACATTTATTATCAATGTTGCAAACAGTTGCACTGCTGAAATATTTGAAAGTATCTGAAATATTTGAAAACACTGCTGAAAACAGTGAAACCTCATTGAAATGTTGAATGTGAAGATTTAGTCTGAATACTCGTGATTTTTGAATTCCATGACTTCCAGCCATTTTTTTTTTCATCTTTATCATTGTTTGTTCTATCTGTCTAGACCCTTTCCTAGGGCACTTTTAAGCACTTGCATTAGTAATGTTAAAATCACTTTCCTTAACTAACAGAATTGAAGAGATAAAGTGAAATGACTGGTACAACTTAACTAGCCATTAAATGAACAGATGCAGCACAGTTATTGTCAGATGCGTCTTTTTGCAGATACTCAATTATTCAGCATTTTCTCCACAATCCAGACAAACACTGTCAAATTAGCTTTGCAGAGTGCAGATTCTTATTCCTTTATTGACCTTTCAACCTTCATGGCTTTATGTATTAGAGATAAAGATGAGGGTTTTTATAAAAAATATAAAAAATAAATAAAAAAAGGCGGTTGCACTCAATAAGGTAAATTTCTCCCTGTTGAAACATTAAGGCACTGAGCAGAACGCCAAAACTAAAAATAAAGCACTTTACTATACACATTTCCATTACTTGTCTTAATCCCATATATTATTTTACCAGGCCTGGTAAATTCCCTGCGTCTACCACAGAAGATTTTCCATAGAAATTGGATGCAGCATTAGACTGAAATATGTATTTAATATTGTCATTTACGTGACCATATATCGAATCCCAGACTGTAAGCACCTGTCTGGCCTGGTAGTATTCCCGCAGTAACTGGTCTCTCTGAATGATGGCTTCGGTTCTCTCTTTCCTGGCCACATCTCTTTCCTCCCGCACAGTCTCGATGTCTTTACAGGCCTGACTCAGCTCTTTCTGGGCCTCCGCTTTGTCCTTCACTTCATGGCAGTATTTTTCCAGCAGCTCGTTTCTCTCACAGATGGCACGGTCTCGATCCACCAGCGATGAATTTAGCTCCTACAAAAAGACACAAACGTCAGCGACAGTTATGCGCTATTGATTTAAAGTGCTTTTTCAAAACAGCACTGGCTGCCTAGTACAAACTTGGCAACAAAAAGTTTATTTACAGAACAGAGAGCATATAAAAACAAGGCTCAGTCACTCCTTAATCATAAATACTGTATTCAGTGATACAGTGAGTTTCCCCAAATGACAGCTGACCATCTAGATTAGATGCGACAATATTGCATATCTAATATCTGTTATTAGGGATGTGTTACCTGTCTGAGAGCTTCCACCTCCTCACTGGCCACCATCCTCTCAGAGGAGGTGTTTTTGAGCCGGGCTTCCGCCGCCTCCAGCTCCGTCTGCAACTTGTCCACCTCTTTAATGACCTGGTCCCTCTCACTCATGATCAGTCTGTATTCATTAAACACAGAATCCCGCTCCTCCTTGTATTTCTCCGCATCCTTGACCGCCTTCAGCTGGAAGTTCTTGTAGCGTGTCACCTCCGACTGGAGTCTCTCCATCTCTCTCTGCAGCTCCTTGTTCTGGGCTGAGGCTTTATTCATCTCCTGCTGCACGGAGTCAAACCTGATGGGTTTCAAATCAAAAATGTTCGATTAATGAGTGCTTTGCATTATTAAAAAGGACTACAATTTTCTGTGTGTATCAATGTTCATTAATGAACTGAATTAAAAGATTGGCAGTTGACTGTACTGACCAATCAGAAGTCAGGACCATAATGCAAAGGATATAAACAATGTATGCATCCTATATAAAGCGCAGGACAATATATATATATACAGTCGAACCGAAATTTATTCAGACACCTTCAACACTTCTCACATTATCACAGTTTATTCGCTATAGTTTAGAAAATGGTAATAAAATATGAAAAAATAAAAAATAAATTCATCTTGATAATGTCAGATAACTTCGATAGAAAGGTATGTAATGTTATGTCAGCTGTTAAATTTAAGTACACAATTAGATAATACCAATTACCAAGCAGTGCTTAATTTTGTTCAGTCTGTGGTGTAAAAAGGTCGCATTAGCAATTAAAGAAAAAAAACACTTAAGCAAAACATGGTCAAGTCAAAGTGTCAGAATAATTTTTGTCCCAAATTTTTATTGATTTTACTGGCAGTCCACTGTATGAATAATTTTTGTGTATAATATGTCAGTTTACTTTATTTTGCTATCCTCACTTACCTAAATTAACTATAGTGTCCTGCATCTACTAGTAAAAAGATATCAAAAAATTATATCTGGTGTCTGAATAATTTTTGGTTTGACTTTATATGTAATGAATGTCATTAAGGCCAACTTGATTATCCTCTTAGCACTGTTTAACTTATTTTACCATATTTCAACCCTCAAACAAGCAGAAAATGCAAAGATGCAGATTGTGTTTGATATGATTGTAGTGTCTGAAAGTGAAAAAGATGTTGATGTACGACATTTAAATATAAACAATATATGCGTTCTGTGAAAAATGGGACAATGTATTTTATTATTGTAATGATAAAACTGTAAATTAAAACTAGGCAAATTTGATTATGCTTTCAGCTCTTTTTGCCTCACATTCAGAACAGAAAATACATAAAAAGAGGCTGCAGATTGCAGTGTTAAAAACATGTTGACCAAGTATGACCTTTAAAAGTATTTGAAGTGCGTTATGCAACACTTAAAACACATAATAAAGATGACTGATGCTGCTCGTACCGTCTCATAGATGTTGACCACTGCTGTTGGTACTGGATAGCCGTGTCGCGCTGTTTAAGCAGAGCATCGGTTTGTTTTTGCAAGCGCCTGTTCTCCTCCTCCACCTGCTCCAGTCGACTCAGATCCGTGTTGTGACTGGCCACCTTCTCACTGTAGCGTTGGCTCAAGACGTCGTATTCCTTCTTCACCCCCTCCAGCTTATCCATCGCTGTATCATAGAGCTTGTTCAAAACCTCTGATGACCCGTTCTCCCTGATTACCTGTATCGAAAAAGGCTTTCATGAATCTGATTTACTGTGTGGTGTCAAAGAAACAAACAAACAAAAAAAAGACAAAAACCCTGATAACCTGTAAAAAATCCCATTTCATGAACCTGATCTACTATATACTGTCAAAGAAAAAAATACAAGAAACAAAAAAACAAATAAAACAAAACCCTGATAACCTGTGTCAAAAAAGGCTTTCATGAATCTGATTTACTGTGTGGTGTCAAAGAAACAAACAAACAAAAAAAAGACAAAAACCCTGATAACCTGTAAAAAATCCCATTTCATGAACCTGATCTACTATATACTGTCAAAGAAAAAAATACAAGAAACAAAAAAACATAAAACAAAACCCTGATAACCTGTAAAAATCCCATTTCATGAACCTGATCTACTATATACTGTCAAAGAAAAAAATACAAGAAACAAAAAAATAAATACAACAAAACCCTGATAACCTGTAAAAAAGGCTTTCATGAATCTGATTTACTGTGTGGTGTCAAAGAAACAAAGCAAAACAAAACAAAAACAAAAACTTGTCAAAAACAAAGCCAAAACAAAACCGTGATTACCTTTGTTGAAAACAGCTTTAAAGAGCCTGATTTACTGTGTGGTGGAAACAAAATGAAATAAAACAAAAGACAAAAACAAAAACAAAAAAAAACTGATTAAACAGCTTTAATGAATCTGATTTATTGAATGGTATCAAAGAAACAAAACAAAAAACACAAACAAAATCAAAACAACACTACTTATTTGTACTAAAATGGTTTACAAAGCTTTCTGTTATTAATTATACTGGTCAGTCCTAAAGATATTGAAAATGGCACAGGGTTGGTGCATTAATGTAGAATTCATGTGTGATTATGCTCCTTACATATATTACCTGTTATAAATGTGCTTTTATCATCCCTTGAATTCAAGTTTGACAACGCAAACACCAGAGGGCGATCATGAGTCTATAAAACATCTCCTGTACTTGCATGCCAAATGCTGTCACTGCGCTTACACACAAATACGCAACACTGAATTCAGCAATAAACAAACAGCATCCACTATGTGTCCTAATGACATAATCGAAGGCAATTCCCCGTTCAGGCAATAAACCCACACCTCAGTGGCCCCTGACCAAGCCACAGTGGGATTTCACATGCTGAGTGATTGGCATCTGTATCTAACTCTCCTCTAGGCCATGTAATCAGTGCTTAGAGTATTGACTAACTGCAAAAGCCTCTGTCCTTTTCCATCAGTCAGCAAGCACTTGCCCTTCCAGGCTGACCTTTTTCAAGCAGGCGGTGAGCATTTTGTGCAGCCAGTGGGCAGCGTAAGCACAGCTGACAGATCAAAACGCGGTTCAATCTGAGCGCTACAGCACAGATCCCGTGGCACGCCTGATCTGACCTCTCTGCGACAATTAAGACCGTTTCAGACACACAAGCAGGAGCTATCCTAATGCTTTAAACCTTTCCATTTGTGTTCGTGGGTTTAATCCGGAAGGAAGCCTGATAAATCAATCCGACAGGAAAAGGCTCATTCCTTCATAGTAGCTGCAGAGAGCAGACAGTGTGTTGACACGGTGGCATCTGACTGAATAATCTCCTGTCCCCTGGCTTCCGATTTATGTCAAGGTCAGATTTGGTTGCACTACTATGGGATGCCCAGCCTCTGGATTTACAACATAAACGCTGCTGTTCATGATGCAACAGACGCACTAATCCCACAACAGTCTGCGCTGCGGGGAATGACAAAATCTGCAATTTAATTAACCGTCCCTGAAGCTCTGAAAAAAATCAGAGATCGATTTCGGCAGACTAACGTCACTTTCTGGCTGACGGCAGTACCATTAGGCCTGTTTCACACTGCAAGCGTAAGAAGCTCATATGTATTTTGGTGCCCGTATTAACAGGTTGCATTCACACTGTGTGCATTAGCAGGGCGGTGCTGTGGGAAAAAAAGCGGTTCTGCGATTACAGTTTCGGCACTGAGCCCATTTTTGCTGCTTATAGCACACTCAACTAGCAGACAACAAGGTGGAAATTCCCCATATACCTACACTACAGTTCAAAAGTCTGGGGTAAGTAAGATTTATGTTTTAATACACACTTTTATCCAGCAAGGACATATTAAATTGACAGCAAGGGCACAAAAGTGACAGTAAAAACATTTATAATGTCACAAAAGATTTGTTAAATAAACACTGGCCTTTTGAACTTTCGATTAATCAAAGACTCATGAAAAATGCAGGTTTCCACAAAAATATTAAGCAGCACAACAGATTTCAACAGTAATAATAATAATAATAAATGTTTCTTGAGAGGCAAATTAGTATGAGCAGATCATGTGACACTGAAGACTGGAGTAATGATGCTGAAATTCAGCTTTGCCATCATAGAAAAAGATTTCAAAACATTAAAATAAAAACATTATTTCAAATTGGAATAATATTTCACAATATAGTTTTTAATGTATTTTTGATTAAATAAATGCAGCTTTTGGTGATATCAGACTTTCAAAAACACGTAAAAATCTTAAAAATCTTTCCAAGCCCAAACTTTTGAGCAAACAAAGTAGTTTCGCTTTCACAACAAAACACACAGCTCTTCACGACATGGCGGCGGCAACAACAATACTACAGCGAGAATAAAAGTTACGCCTTCTTTCTTTGCGTGAACATTTGGGCGACGTTATGCAAATCTTCCCACATAGTGACGTAGCTATGTGTTAGAACGAGCCATTTTAGGTAGGCGTGGTTAACTCTTAACTTTTATAAAGAATATCTCTTTGGATTTGAGACTTCTTTATGCACCAAGAGATTGTAACACTTCAAAGAGAAAGGAAAAATTGAAATCGCATCATATGACCCCTTTAACTATTTTACACATGCTATTTTATGCTTATTAGAGTAAAAAATAAAATACAAATAAAATTTGAAAAAAATCTTAGCATCATACATACCCGTGACAGAGTGCAATCTTTTAATGCATTGCAACTAACTCCATCCAAGATGGTAGACAAAGCAAAAATTCAATTATGAATAATTAAATACTGAAATATATCAATGATCTATTTTAAATCTAATTAACAATTGTACCCAATATTACTGTGTTTTGTATTTTATGCTTAGAGTATACAATTACATTGTCAGCATTTTTGTATTTTATGCATAAAAAATAAAATAAAATGGGTTCAATTTCAGTGCAGACACTACCAGCAGACGAGGAGGATCAAACAGAATGAATGTTTTTGCTCTCGATACATCAGTAACATGCAAGCAGTATAACAGAGAATGGTTGTGTATGTGTGTGTGCTGTAATCACACACTGTTGAGGGAATGGGGAATATGGGATTAATCCCTCATCAACTCAATCTTCATCTCTATGTGGTCGTTCATGCCCAGCAGAGACGGGGACAGGAGGGCATGTGTCCTTACATCATAATCAGATTACAGCCACTGCACATCTGTGTATGGATGGACGATATTATGTTGGTGTGTGGATGACAGCACACTGGCAAACAAGGGTGAGTCAGAAACAACAGAGCAGAACAAACTTCCTTGTGTCCACGCTTACATATTGCCAACTGGTTTAGATAACGAGGCTACATTAAACCAATGTCACTTAAACTGATGACATATGACAAAGCAGTTTCATTATTACTTCCTTGTGACTGTGTTTTTTGCATAAGGATTTTTATAGAAAGACACTGCAGGGACGGTTCAAACAAAAATTAATTTTGTCATCATTTACTCGCCATACAAACCTGTCATGATTTTCGTTTTTTTTCTGTGGAACGCTAAAGACGACATTCTAAAAATGTCTTTTTTGTTGTTTTATTTTTATCCTGTGTTGTTTTGGACCTCATTGACTTTCATTGCATGGGCAAAAACAGTAAAACAGAAAAAAATACTTGAAAATATGTTCTGCAGGGTGATACGAGGGAGAGTAAATGATGTAATTGTAATTTTCACGCTTTCACCACCATTGACAATTTTTTGCCTTTCCGTGTCTTTATTGTTATAAGGTAGGAGGCAAAATGCTGGTGGGAAAGAGTTAATTTTCACATTTTAATTTATTTAATTTAAATTGTACACATTTATTGTAATTCCAATAAATACATTATTTTTATTTTATTTTATTTATTTGTACTGTTTTATTTTAATTTATTCAATTTTTTATTGTAATCATAATTGTATTTTGAGGTTTGGAATGATATGTGGATGATTAACTAACTGGGTGAACTCCTCTACATAACATAAAAACTGCTCCTTAAGTGCATTATGCACATTAATATTGCAACATGAATTGAGCTGCAGAACAATGTGCTTCAAACATTTAATAAAGCCATAATTAACCTGCAGACAATGCAAGAGCTAATTAAAGACTGCTACTAATGCAGCAGATGGCTCTTAGCATATCTGTTAGAGAGAGATGCATGGCGCCTGTACTCACTGGTAGTAGTCTGCCTCCTTCACGGCCTCCTCGCACCTCTTCAGAGTCTTGGTATGCTGGTTCTGCAAGGACTGCAGGTCTGCCATGGCCTTCATGCACTGCGTTTTCAGACGCTCGTAGTCATGGCCAGGTTTGGAATTTGGCCTTTTGGAGACAAAGAGCAAAACATCAGCACTGCGTCCCTCAGTCTGCAAGGGCGGCCCAGTGTTAACTGGGATAACAGACTCTACTGGTCAAAAGTTTGGAATAATTAAGATTTAAAAAAAAAATATGTTTTTGATAAGTCTCTTATGTTCACCAAGGCAGCATTTATTTGATCAAAAATACAGTAAACAAAAAAGTAATATTGTGAAATACTAAAATTAATAATAATTTAATTTAAAATAACTTGTGCTGTCAAATGATTAATCGCAATTAATCGCATCCAAAATAAAAGGTTTTGTTTACATAATGTGTGTATACTGTGTATATTTATTATGTATAAATAAATACAAACACATACATGTATATGTTTAAGAAAAAATGTGTGTTTATATATTAAATATATTTATATTAGGGCTGGTAAGGGATTAAAATATTTAATCTAATTAATTACATGAAGTGCTGATTAAAGGGGTCATATGATGCGATTAAAATTTTTCCTTTCTCTTTGGAGTGTTACAAGCTCTTGGTGCATAAAGAAGATCTGTAAAGTTGCAAAGACTACATATATTCTAGATATATGTTCTAACACGCCCCCACATATCTACCTCACTATGTGAGAAGATTTGCCTAACGCCGCCCAAATGTTCACGCTAAGAAAGTAGGCGTAACTTTTAGCCTCACTGTTGTTGCCGGGACACGTCATCAACAGTATGTGAGGGGCGTAACATTTCCATCTCACACTTGAGGTATTCGGCCAATCACAACGCATTGGATAGCTGGCCAATCACAGCACACCTCGCTTTTTCAGACCGATGAGCTTTGTAAAAATCTACGCGTTTCAAAAAGGCGGGGCATAGAGGAGAAACAATAATGTACAGTATGTGGAAAATAATGTGTTTTTTTTTTTTACTTTAAACCGCATAAACACATTTCATTACACCAAATACACAAAATAATGTTCTTTTTAGCAGCATCATATGACCCCTTTAATTAATCTAATTAATCTAATTAATCGCATTTAATCGCACATAAATATTAGCGGAGAATTTTCCCCCGAAATAACATTAAAAATTATTGTGTAAGATGAAGATTGAACTGATATTACAAAAAGCAGCTTTTATTACTATTTTGATTGAACACAAGACTATCACAATGGCCATGACATTGTTTTATTATTGAACACAAACTTGGGCTACAATGGCCATTATTAAACACAAGTCTATCACTTAGGCGACAATGGCCATGACATGTTTTATTATTATTATTATTATAAGCCTGTCCCTTATGCTATAATGGTCATACAGTAATTTAACAGAAACACAGTTAAACTAACCTCATTTCTTATTTCTCCTTCAACCAGTTGCTAAGACAAACTAACGTGTTTACATTTTCTGAGTTGAAAGATGCCCTCTTCTTTTGCACAATGTTGCCCGCCAGTGAGAAAAGTCTTTCGCATGGTACAGTGGTTGCAGGGGTGGCTTAACATGGGCCTCTGCATTAACTGACCACCACTCTAAAGGACACTTATCCATCTCAATAGTGGGCTGAACTCTGTAGCGCATTGCTAACATGATTTTCTTCCTCTGATTCCGAGTCTGAACCCAGCAGAAGGATTCTCCTCTTTTAAGCTGGCTCATATTCTTCACTGGGTTGTGGAGTATGTGTGCTGGGTTCTGCTTCTTGTAGTATTTTCTCAAGGCTGGACCACACCTGTTCTCTCTCTCCTCTTGATAGGCACTTCAAGTCCTTAAAACGAGGGTCAAGAGCTGAAGCAAGTTTCAGCCATTCATTGTTCATGTCAGCTTGGCGTTCAGCAAGGTCTTTCTTAAAGGTAGTCTTGAAACTTGCCACATATGCTGGATCTTCATCAGAGACCCTCATTGCATGGTTAAGGTGGCAGAATGCAGGCAGCACTACAGAGCATGAGACATAAGTCTCACCCCCAAGGAATTCAGTCACATACCTGAGGTAGAACAAACATTATACATACTCAAAGTAATTATAATTACATTATAATAAACAAAGTTCAATACATTTAGTTTAGGCAAGAAAAGCATATTTAACATCAATTTATAAAAGGTGATTTTAAAATCCTTAACATTTTTAAGAGTTCATTTTATGGAATTTTTAAAGGCTTTTTCTTTTCAAGCATGTTTGTCTTGCTCAGTAAGAGCTCCAAGACATTTTAGGCGTGATATTCTTGGGTTCTAAATTATATATTGTGTGTAACAAAAACAGCAGGAAGCACAAATAAATGCAAGGACATCATGCAATTACAATAGAACGTGGCACTAATGTAATTGAGGAGGATGGGTGTGTGGCAGACTTACTTGCATGGCTCAAGAAGCGTCTGCAGCTTGTGCAGTTTGTCCCACGCAGCAGCGGTCAGCATGACTAACTTGTGTTTCTGTTGGGCTATAGTAGCCTTAACAGCCTCTTCATTCCGTAAGAGATGCATGATCATATCGAGTGATGAGTTCCACCTCAATGAAACGTCCTGTATCAGTTGCTCTCTTTGTTGTCCGAGTGCTGTTTGTTGCTGATGTAGTTCCTCTGTGTTAGCAGGGCTGTGCTTAAAATGTCCTACAATTTTGCGACACTTTGTCAATGCATCAACAAACCCACTGTCCGAGAGGCAAACAGTAATGGTCCTCTGCAATATGTGTGCGGCACAGGGGATGTGATCAAACATAAGTTTTCTTGCTGCAGCAACCATGTTTCGAGCGCTGTCTGTTCCGATGGTGGTCACTTTTTCTGTAATGTCCCACATTTCTGCCACTGTTAGGAACTGTTCGGCAAATGCATCAGAATAGTGCCGTGTGGCTGTTTTCAGTACCGTTAACGCGAAGGACTGAAGTGTCCAGTTATGATCAATGAAGTGTGTAGTAACACCTAGAAAGTTGTGATTACCGATCAAAGTCCAATGATCTCCGGTCAGAGCAACATATTGTGCTTGAGCCAATTTTTCCTCTTTTGATAGTTTTTCGGTGTCATACAGCTGATTTATTCTCGAAAGTACTGTATGTCTTGTTGGTAGTGTGTAGCAGTGCTGCACGATATATCAAAATTATCGAAATATCACAAATGTAAATATCGCAATATGCATATCACAACGGCGTGCTATATCTGAATCATTTTAATAATAGGCTACTTAAATCAAAACGTTGCAAAAGGTCAACGTTTTAGTTCGACACATATAGCAGAGAATAGCTTGACGTTAAAAAGAATTATTAAGTGCAATAAGTTGCAGAAAACAACTCTTTGCCGTCTCGTCTTGCTGTCTGACTCACACCTGAAGCACGCACACAAGGTGCATCTCGCACAGCGTCTCTTCAGTTCTGCCGCACACGTGCAAAGCACACACACACACACACACACACACACACACACACAGAGACGCATTTCAGATGGCTCGCGAACACAGAGTTGATTCGTCTTTCGCATCTCCTCCTTATGTTTGAACAGACACATACACACAGAATTATGTCAATAGTACCCATCTCGACGATCATTCTCGTAAACGCAGTCAGTTGTGTTTTAAATAGGGATGCACTGATACCACTTTTTCCATTACTCGCCTGATACAGATACTTTTATTTTTGGTACTTGCCGATACCGAGTACCGATACCAATATTTTCATTGCATTTGTAAATGTTAAAAATTTTCATTGGGTACAGAAACCAAAAGAGTATGTATAATGTTAGTTGGTTAACTTCATTTATCAAATAGATACAGTCAAACCAAAATGTATTCAGACAGCTTCAACATTTCTCACATTATCACAGTTTATTCGCTATAGTTAAGAAAATGGTAATAAAATATGACAAGAACTCAAGAGTTTGTGTCAGAACAAATTCAGCTTGATAATGTCAGATACCTTTGATAGAAAGGTACAGTATGTAATGGATTACAATCAACCAAAAATTATTCATACAGCTGTCAATATTTACATTTACACTGATTTACTATCAATACTTTGTCGGGTGACCCTTAGCCTTAATGACAGCATATAGTCTCCTGGGCATGCTGTCATCCAGCTTCATGCAAACCTGAACTTCAATTTTTTCCCAAACTCGGTCTGAATAATTTTTGGTCCCAAATTTGTATAAATTTTACTGGTAGTCCACTATATGAAGACATTTTGGGTATAATATATCACAGTTTAGTTTATTTAGCTATTTTTCGATGGTATGCAAATTCCTTATTACAGAGAAGGCAAAGGACTTTGGTTTTATCAGTGGCTCCATTGGCATGAGTTTTGAATTTAAATGTTCCCTTCAGAAAGCCATGCATATCTCTGTGTCATCATCGTCGTTTTGCATCATGCTCGACTGACTCGCCACTACAGCTTATTGCAAGATGTGTAGTCTTTGGTACAGGACTAGGGCGGTGCGCGTTAAATGCGTTAAAAATGTCAACACGTTATTTTTTCGCATAATTGATTAATCTAATTAACGCATTAAATTACCAGCCGTAATTTATATATAATATAAAATATAAGAATATTAATATATAAATGTATAAACTTAAATATTTTCAAAATATATGCTGTGCGTGTGTGTATTTATATATACATAATAGATATACATAGGGCTGGACGATATGGACAAAATTCTGCTTTAAACTGCTTTGCGTCTCTCCGTCAGATAACCTCACGTGCATGATGCGCCATTTACAGGGGCTTATTTAAAATGAAAACTCATTCTCTGCCAGCAGGAGGCGCTTTTAGAGTGTTAAAACTGGTAATGTATATCGAAATATCGGAAATGTGTTTAAAAATCATATCACCGTTATTGAAAAAAATTATATCGCGATACATATTGATATCGAATTATTGTCCAGCCCTAGATATACACAATACATACACATATATAATGTAAACAAAAACTTTTATTTTGGATGCGATTCATCACGTTTAATCGTTTGACAGCACAAAAAAATAAAATTTTCTTTTAAATTAAAAAAAAAATTCAAATAGAAAACTATTTCACAATATTACTGTTTTTTTTTTGTTTTTAAATAAGCACATGCAGCCAAGAGAGACAACTTTCAAAAACATTTTTAAAAAATCTTAATTATACCAAACTTTTGACTGATAGTGTACGTTTACATCTGAAATTAATTTTATGAACCTTTACAGAAAAGAAATTAAATTACAACTTTTTTAAAAATGTAACTAGGGTTGGTACCTGCAGTCATCAAATGTGGTGCCAGGTGAGGCGAGTGCCAAGCGCTTGCGAAGTTCGTCCCGCTCCCTGGTGACTTGTCTCAGCTGGAACAGGATGGTGTCCAGGTTCTCGCTGGCAGGCCGGGTGTCACCGAGTGCAGGTGGAGGTGATGAGGCTTTGGTACCTGCAACAGTGAGCACGTCACCGGAGCACAGACAAGCTCACCCAGCACTAATGCAGGGATACATCAACACAAACACCCCCAAAAAGACCAAAACTATAGCCATGGCTGCCGCAATTGAGCAATCAAACTTGGAATTACATCAATTTACCATCATAACAGTAAAAAAGGTTAACATATAAAGGTTACATGCAAGGAATAATGTACATCCAGTCAATTGTTATCTCAGAATAAGCTCCTTAAGGGGTTTATTTTGCAATAACATTATTCCACTTATTACACAGCTACTTCCCGCATAAGTAAATAATTGGACACAAAATATAACAAGTTCAATGTAGACAAACATTTAAGGTACACAGCTTTTAACCACATAAATAATAATGAGGGAAAGAGATACTGATTTCAGATGAAACCGTATTAAACCCTTACCTGCTTATTATCTTATAATCCATCACAGAGTACAAAACAATCATCCTGGCAAGACGACGAACACCGCAACTATTTGGAGTGCAACAGTCAGTTCCAGAAGTGAAACTGACATTTTTTTCTCAGAAGGGAAATTTATTTTTTTAACGATAACTTATAAACCTTTAAAGGCACACCTACTGTGAGCTCTGAGGTTGTTAATTGGTGGTAAATGCTTTTGTTGAAACCACCTGTTCACATTATTTTATCTTTTGTTTTAAATAATCGTGTTTAACAGTGGAATCTAGGTTAAAAAATACAGCATACACAATGCTTCATGGGATTGTAGTAAAGCAATTATGCACATAGTCTTGGACCTTAGTCTTTTTGTCTGATTTTCAAATACCCTTTTGCTTCAAATGAAAGTTTGTAATGTTGTGATTCTCCTTATAGCTGGTTGGTTTGGTTTATGACTTATAGCACTTAAACCAAGACTTTTTACAAATCCCTATGTGAAAAATGAATGAAAAAAATACTTCTAGAACCAGCACAGGAAGCACCAGCATGATTTGCTCAAAAAGGTGGCTTCAACAAAACCATATACCATCGATTAACAATCTTGGAGCTCACAGTAGGTCTGTCTTTAAAAGGTTTATCAGTTATTGTTAAAAATCTATTTCCCTGTGGAGAAAATGAATAAAGTTTTTACTTCCGGGACTGACTGGTGCACTCTAGAAACCTTATGCGGCAGAGAAACAAATGCACTGTCTTTGAACCTACAGTTAACGAAAGTTATCATGCGTATTGTTCGAGCCGAGGCAGATGTCATAAATGTCAGTAGACTGCGAAATTTTTTAAATAACAATACTAGGCAGCTTGTTAGGTTTTAGACCGTGTTATTGTAGTATTATTTATATACTACTGAAGTATTTAATATTTTGTATTTGCTTTATTTTTATTCGTTTTTATTTTAATTTCAGTTTAATTTTAGTATCTGTTATGCATTTTTGTATTTGCTTTTTAATTAGTTTGTTTCAGTGATTTTAGTGCTTGAACTTCTCATTTTTATTTAAGCTTACGTTTTTATATTTATATTTTACTTCATCTTTATTAAAATTACCAAAAATGATTATAATAATTTAATAGGTAATCGTTTTAGCAAACATTAACAGAACAGAGCTACTATCACTACAACTCTTACAAAAACAGGCCAAAACTTAAAGCTAAATCTGACCTTTAAAGCTTGGCTGTACTAAAAAAAAAATACATAAATAATCATACAGGAAAAATTTGAAAATGCTTGAGGTCACAATGGCAGACATTCTGAGCACTTTATGTAAACGATGATCTTTTGGGATGAGCAGCAACTAAAATTACACCATAATCTTTTGGTCTTGGACAATCTGCTGCAGATATTCAGAGAATGAATTCAGCTTTATGCAATAACAAAGAGGATAATCTCCATTACAGATAAAAACAGGGCAGAGAACATAGTATTCGTCAAGATGTCATTTTATTGTCTTTCTAGGGATTTATTAGAGAAGGTTAACATGAGACTACTTGATAAACAGCGCACAACATTTTTCCAAAACTTTTTCATTATTTTAAAATTCCCAGATACATCCAGCTTGTGGGAATCCTCAATTTGGTGGAAATATTTATAATGTTATGGAAGTCTTATGTATACCAAGTTAAATGCATTGTAACCATAAAACAAAATGAACGTATCTTTTTAGATGCCTTCACACTAATAAAATATTACGTGAATTTATGTATCATGTAAAAGCGAAACATCATCATGCTGCAATAATTCATTGTCTGTTTGTTTCAGAGGTCAGGTTGATTTTTTAAACTCTGAAATTAAACTTAAAGGGATAGTTCACCAAAAAATGAATGAAGTATGTGGAAAAGCAAACAGTTGACAGTAGCCATTGATTTCCACAGTATAAATAAATACTATGGAAGTCAATGGCTACCGTCAACTGTTTGCTTAGTCATATTTTTAAAAAATATCTTCTGTTCAACAGAAGAAAGAAGTTGTAACCATAAAACAAAATGAACGTATCTTTTTAGATGCCTTCACACTAATAAAATATTACGTGAATTTATGTATCATGTAAAAGCGAAACATCATCATGCTGCAATAATTCATTGTCTGTTTGTTTCAGAGGTCAGGTTGATTTTTTAAACTCTGAAATTAAACTTAAAGGGATAGTTCACCAAAAAATGAATGAAGTATGTGGAAAAGCAAACAGTTGACAGTAGCCATTGATTTCCACAGTATAAATAAATACTATGGAAGTCAATGGCTACCGTCAACTGTTTGCTTAGTCATATTTTTAAAAATATCTTCTGTTCAACAGAAGAAAGAAACTCATACAGGTTTGGAACAAGTGGAGAGTGAGTAGACAAAGACAAAGTTTAAATTTTTGCATGAACTATCCCTTTAAAACTTAAAGGGATATGACAACTAATAAAGTTGATATGAAAAAACTGCTTTGTGCGAATATTTTATATCTCCTTTCACAGAAGCGCTGCAGGTGCATGATGCGACGATTGAATCCTCATGGTCTTGTTTACTCTGCTATTCGCGCATATAAAGCTAAAGCCCTGTATAAAACCAAAAAAAAAAGACATTCTAATCTTACTGGTTAACGATCGACTAATGACTAAAATGAACAAAATGCTGTCATTCTACAATTCTCCACCGTATTCACCATGCTGCGCGCAAGTTCAGGTAACTCAAAAACTTGCGTACACGAGCTGAGACCAGACGTGAGATTTGATCGCAGCCACCGCTCACGTCCATATTGATAAATTCCAAGTTTTGCATTGAAACGACTGTACGGCCATTTTTACGTTGTACGTTCGTTTTGTAAATGAGGCCCATTATCCTCACTGTCGCAAACCCACACTGCTCCTCATCAGACCCAAACAGGGAGACGGCATTATGGTTATCTCCAGTGCAATGTTTTGGTCCCTTTAGAAAGCACTATGTGAAACTGCCAAGTCATTTGGACGGCAGTCATTCTCAGAGTGCATTCACCGTTGGCACCAAACCAGGAGAACAGGGCTCGGCCTCCAGACACAACCACTATGCCCTCCAACACACGTTATCACCGTTCATCTGAGCCTTCAGTCTGCTTTGAGTGACTTTACAAATGCATCATACACACCCACATGTGCTACAAGCATTGTTGTTACGGCACGGTGACAATGGGTGCAAGGTGTCAAGGGTTGGAGCAGAAACTCTGACATACCAACACTGCTGAGGGAGCTGCTGCTCTCGGAGTCTGATGGCATTGTGGACAGGATGCTGTAGGTGGACCCTGCGGAGGAGAGAAAACACTATTAATAACTCAACACTGATGCTTACAGCTCTTTAATTAACAAAATGCTCAATGCTGGCAGAAAAGTAGCACTTAAGAAAATAGAGAATAACTCATCTGCAACTCTCTACAGCAAAACACCCAAACATTTATTAGAGACAGAACAATAGGTCAGTTTCAATTACTGTATTAACATTCACACATCAAATCAGTGTGTCTATATGTGTTCTATATATGGGGTTTATTTATTTATACATTTATTTAGGTTTTGTGTGTGTGTGTGTGTGTGTGTGTGTGTGTGTGTGTGTGCGTGTGTGTAATCCTCAATTTGGTGGAAATATTTATAATGTTATGGAAGTCTTATGTATACCAAGTTAAATGCATTGTAACCATAAAACAAAATGAACGTATCTTTTTAGATGCCTTCACACTAATAAAATATTACGTGAATTTATGTATCATGTAAAAGCGAAACATCATCATGCTGCAATAATTCATTGTCTGTTTGTTTCAGAGGTCAGGTTGATTTTTTAAACTCTGAAATTAAACTTAAAGGGATAGTTCACCAAAAAATGAATGAAGTATGTGGAAAAGCAAACAGTTGACAGTAGCCATTGATTTCCACAGTATAAATAAATACTATGGAAGTCAATGGCTACCGTCAACTGTTTGCTTAGTCATATTTTTAAAAAATATCTTCTGTTCAACAGAAGAAAGAAGCTCATACAGGTTTGGAACAAGTGGAGAGTGAGTAGACAAAGACAAAGTTTAAATTTTTGCATGAACTATCCCTTTAAAACTTAAAGGGATATGACAACTAATAAAGTTGATATGAAAAAACTGCTTTGTGCGAATATTTTATATCTCCTTTCACAGAAGCGCTGCAGGTGCATGATGCGACGATTGAATCCTCATGGTCTTGTTTACTCTGCTATTCGCGCATATAAAGCTAAAGCCCTGTATAAAACCAAAAAAAAAAGACATTCTAATCTTACTGGTTAACGATCGACTAATGACTAAAATGAACAAAATGCTGTCATTCTACAATTCTCCACCGTATTCACCATGCTGCGCGCAAGTTCAGGTAACTCAAAAACTTGCGTACACGAGCTGAGACCAGACGTGAGATTTGATCGCAGCCACCGCTCACGTCCATATTGATAAATTCCAAGTTTTGCATTGAAACGACTGTACGGCCATTTTTACGTTGTACGTTCGTTTTGTAAATGAGGCCCATTATCCTCACTGTCGCAAACCCACACTGCTCCTCATCAGACCCAAACAGGGAGACGGCATTATGGTTATCTCCAGTGCAATGTTTTGGTCCCTTTAGAAAGCACTATGTGAAACTGCCAAGTCATTTGGACGGCAGTCATTCTCAGAGTGCATTCACCGTTGGCACCAAACCAGGAGAACAGGGCTCGGCCTCCAGACACAACCACTATGCCCTCCAACACACGTTATCACCGTTCATCTGAGCCTTCAGTCTGCTTTGAGTGACTTTACAAATGCATCATACACACCCACATGTGCTACAAGCATTGTTGTTACGGCACGGTGACAATGGGTGCAAGGTGTCAAGGGTTGGGGCAGAAACTCTGACATACCAACACTGCTGAGGGAGCTGCTGCTCTCGGAGTCTGATGGCATTGTGGTCAGGATGCTGTAGGTGGACCCTGCGGAGGAGAGAGAACACTATTAAGAACTCAACACTTATGCTTACAGCTTTAATTAACAAAATGCTCAATGCTGGCAGAAAAGTAGCACTTAAGAAAATAGAGAATAACTCATCTGCAACTCTCTACAGCAAAACACCCAAACATTTATTAGAGACAGAACAATAGGTCAGTTTCAATTACTGTATTAACATTCACACATCAAATCAGTGTGTCTATATGTGTTCTATATATGGGGTTTATTTATTTATAAATTTATTTAGGTTTTGTGTGTGTGTGTGCGTGTGTGTGAGTATCCCAAAACAAGGAAAAATAAATAAAATATGCAAGCATTTAGATTACACCGCAACACTGAATAAATGTAACCACACAAAAAAAAAAACAATCACAATTATTGTAATTATCGTTGTAATAATTGATATAACATACAGCTCTTTAATTAACAAAATGCTCAATGCTGGCAGAAAAGTAGCACTTAAGAAAATAGAGAATAACTCATCTGCAACTCTCTACAGCAAAACACCCAAACATTTATTAGAGACAGAACAATAGGTCAGTTTCAATTACTGTATTAACATTCACACATCAAATCAGTGTGTCTATATGTGTTCTATATATGGGGTTTATTTATTTATACATTTATTTAGGTTTTGTGTGTGTGTGTGTGTGTGTGTGTGTGTGTGTGTGTGTGCGTGTGTGTGAGTATCCCAAAACAAGGAAAAATAAATAAAATATGCAAGCATTTAGATTGCACCGCAACACTGAATAAATGTAACCACACAAAAAAAAAAAACAATCACAATTATTGTAATTATTGTTGTAATAATTGATATAACAAAAATAATGTATTACAATAACAATAGCTTAATTATAATAACAATTGATGATATTATCTAAATATAAATATTAATAAAAAAAAGAATGTTAATAAAATAAAAAGTAATCACCAGAATATATGACTGCCCAACTCCAACTGAAACTGGACATTTTTATTCAAAGGTGGACACCTGTTACTATGTACCTGGACGCATTGAAAATGAACCGATCAGTAAGGAACCTGGATTTATTCCCTGTTGTATTATTTGACTATGTTGTGTGTGTCTTCTTTCTATTCTTCTTATTTATTTGTATTATTATTTCTCTTTTTCTTTGAGTCACTGCTGCTGTTAAGGAATGTTTAGTTCATTGTTTGTAATTTGCTTTAATGTATAAAAATAAAGTAAAACAAAAGTAAATCACCATATATATATATATATATATATACACACATATCATTATTATTACTATATAAATTATCATTATATAAACATTAATAGTAAAAATTCGAAATATATTATTATTATATATTAAAAATGTAAATATCTGTAATGAATGTTTTTGCTATAGTCTAATAAAATTAGACAAAAAGTTAATTAATGGAAAGTTACTATGCAAATGAATAAGACACTTCAAAAAGAACAGTACAGTTTGCTAATATCAAATGTCTGACTTTTATAAAAATGCCAGCAAACTTTGAGGCTTGAAATGATCACAGAAAACAGAAAGACACTATACAACAAAACCCCAGACAACAACCGGCTCTACTATGGGAAAACATGAGTATTCCAAAGTGTGTTACTGCGAAAACACATTGTAAGCAAATATGAATCGAAATGAAATGGGATAATTGAATCGTTGAGATTCTATGCAGCTCTTCCACTGCAGGGCTCCTCCTCTTAATGAGCAGAGTGTGTGGTGACAAGGACACGGTTCATTATCACAGGCCCGACTCCACACACACACACGTCGAAATCCAGCCCGCAGAAGATCACAGACACTTGAATCTTCCTTCACTCTCTTATCACATCATCCGAGACACAGCTCTGCTTCTGAAGAGCAACTTCAGCAACAGACTTCAATGCCTCCCGCAGCCTGAAATAACTTCAGGGTAGCGATGACTGAGAGCAAGTGCCACAGTTGCAAGGTTTTTTTTTGGTGGGGTGAAAGGCAGATGGAATAAATAGATATTGTATAACGTCTGAAAGCAGACACATAGTCCTGCGAGTCCTGTACAGGAAGATAGGCTTCAGAAATAGACATCATGGTTTTTAATGCACTCCTAACATATTTTGCGGTGAGAGGATGGATGGAAATACAGTCACATAAGCACACGTGGAGCTGCATGCACTTAATGCATCAATGATTCAATGGCTATAGAGAACAAACGTCACTAAAAAAGCCTTAGGGAAACTCTGTCACATAAACTGTCTTTTTTCCAATCAATGCAAATCACTAGCAATAGTCAAATTCTTTTGATGGCAGCAACTGGTACAACAGGTCACCAACAAAGCCATGCTGAATCTCTCTGGTTATAATAAAAAACTGTATTGTATAATGTACTGTGATTGTAAATATTGTCTTGCAGTTTAGTGTAATTTGGAGGTTAATTTGTCAACAAAAAATATTCACGATATCAGTTTCAAAGGCATGTCATTTCAGAGGTTGTGGTCAGAACAGAAGTTGTTAAATTTTAATAGAATTTTCAAGAAATTGTATTATGCACTAGGACAGTAAAAAGGAGAACATTTTCAATATCCTGTTGATTGAATCTTAGATCATATTTTTAAAAAAAAGCAAAAACTGTTGAGCATAAAATGATGCATGTGCATAATACATCACAAAGTCTTTACATTGTTGTGGGGAAAAAAGCTTACTTTTTAAACTTTGAAGCTTGCTTTACTTTTTTTATTAACAGAAATACAATTTATGTTAGTTGAAAAACTTAAACTTTAAACAAAATCAGAAATGTGCAACAAACTCATAAAATAAATTTAAATTGAAATACAAAAATTACTAAAACTGAAATAAAAAAGCTAAATGTACATTTATAAACGAATTACAAATGACAAATATACCCAAAAAGAACAAAAGATAACTAAATTAATCTTAAACTTTAACTAAAAAATTAAAATAGAAAATATAATAAATGCCAATATAAAAAACTAAAAAATATATAATAGTATATGATACTAAAATAGATTCTACTGAGTAGAATCTTATATTATTCAAAATTAGTGCTGTCAAACGATTAATCACGATTAATCGCATCCAAAATAAAAGTTTTTGTTTACATAATATATGTGTGTGTACTGCGTATATTTATTATGTATATATATATATATATATATATCTATATATATATATATATACACATACATGCATGTATATATTTAAGAAAAATATGCTACGTTTATATATTAAATATATTTATATATGATATAATTATATTATTATATGTTGTCAAGGGACAATACTATAGAAATGAAAATTGGATATACTTTAGAC